TGCTACGCCGCCTGTGTCGTTTTGAAGTGCTTTCGTGGAGAAGCAAACGCTGACGCTGACACGCGTTGTGAGGATCATCGAAGCTGTCCCGCACGGCGTGGGCCGCCAGGGGTGCCCCCCAACCTCTTCCCCCCCCTCTGGACATGTTCGGCAAGCGACGCAGGGCCGTGCTCTGTTGCTGAACTGGGCTTCGCCCAACAGGCCATGACATGTTATCAGGCGAGGTGGGGATACATGGTGGCTCGGCGCTGAGTTCTCCAGGTTTCCCGGGGTTTGCCCAGAAATTCCCGAGGACCCACCCTTCCTCAAAATCATGGCATGTAAATGCAGTGCACTACACGTCAAGACAATCAAATTATCAGCAGACCACAGCTGATTAAAGCGACGCAGAGTAAGCCACGCCGAATCTTAGTAATACCCAGCGAAGCAATGCAATCGAACGTTCGCAAACACACGGGAACTACTGAAGACCAGAACACACCTCATCAACACGAACCAAAACGAGGCAAAGCAGCGCGCCATTCGCAACACACAGCAGGGCAAGCCAGCAGTGTACAGCACAGTAGAGGGCAGCGCAGCGCGAAGCGCAAAGATGCAGTGCATTCAGAACCCCCCTCCCCTCCACATCCGCAGCGTCTCCCCCGTCCCAATCGTCCCCTCGCGCGCTGCCCCTGCTCCTGGATCCTGATCGCCTCCACCGGCCAGCCGCGCGCTGCCTTCCCTCCCGACCCTCCCACCTCCTCCCGACCCTCCTCCTCCCTCTGTCCCGCCCGCGCGCCCTCCCGCCCGAGCCATCGACCCTTTCCACTCGGGCGCCCGTGCCAGCTCTCCCGCCGCCTCCTTCTTCACATCCTCGCCCAGGCCCTCCCTCCTTCCCCTGGCGGGCCCGCCCGCCCGATCAGCCAGAGATCTTCGCGCTGTACTCCTCGCCGATGGGCCAGGACGCGCTGAACGTCCACAAGGAGGTCGTGATTGTGTTGCATGTGCCCCCTCTTTCGCCCCCATCCCCCTAAGTTTCCATATCTTTTGGTGTGGTCTGCCTTGCTCTTGCACTCGCTCTCTTTTTCAACCTCTTTCTGTTTCTACCTCTCTATCTCTCTCTCTCCCCCCCCTTTCTTGTTTTTTTGTTTCTCTCTCTCTCTCTCTCTCCTCTCTCTCTCTCTCTCCCCCCTCTCTCTCTCTCTTTTCTTAGCTGTTCCTCATATCCTAAGTGGGTTTCTTTTCTCTGTGCACCCCGCGCAGTACTTCTCCTACTCTCCCTCTCCTCTTTCCCCTTCGCACAATCACCCACTCAACCACCCACACACCAACGTCATAACAGCACCAGCCTCCTCAGCATCACTCAAAAGATCACCATCATCATTCACTCAATCGCTCGCGCCGTCATCATCAGTCACACATTCACCACATGGTCAATCCCTCTTGCACTCAATTCATCATCAGCAGCATCACCATCACCATGATCAAGATCTCGCTGAATATCACCATCTCGTCATCAGCATCATCATATTACCAACACAAGTCTCAAAATTATCATCATCACACGCACATGCGTTCATCTCAAGGAAGTCTCGAACGGGAGCCCCGTCTGTGAGTGAATTGCGAGGAAGTCTTGGATGGGAGCCCGCTCCCGATGAGGCCCGAAGATCATGCTACAAATCCGAGCGGGCTATCCGAACCCTGTAATTGTTGTTACTCTCGAGCCCCTGAGCATTGAATATGGCGGAGGTCTTGCGCGGAAGCCACGTCCGCGAGGGACATGCGAGGAAGTCAGCTGGGAGCCTTCTCCCTATTGGTCCCGCAGATCAGATTATTAGTCCGATCGGGCCATCCGAACCCTGTACACTGACTGTCGTCCCTCTCGAGCCCTTGAGCACTGAATGTGGAGGAAGTCTCGCGCGGGAGCCTCGTCTGTGAGCGACATGCGAGGAAGTCTCAGGTGGGAGTCTCTCCACACTGGCCCGCAGATCATGTTATTAGTCCGAGCGGGTCATCCCGATCCTGTATTTGCCATCATGTTCGGCCCCTGCGCCTAGAATCTGGAGGATGTCTCGTGCAGGAGCTTCGTCCGTGAGTGCAACGTGGGGAAGTCTCAGGCGGGAGTCCCCCTCCCTATTCAGCCCGCAGATCATGTTATGGGTCATCCGAACCTTCTAACTGTCGTCACTTTCGGGCCCCTGTGCTTTGAATATGGAGGAAGTCTAGAGCGGATGCCTCGCCCGTGAGTGAAATGCGAGGAAGTCTCAGGCGGGAGCCCCCTCCCTATAGGGCCGTCAGTTACTTGTATTAATCTGAGCGGGTCATCCGAATCTTGTAACCGTCGTCATTTTCGGGCCTGCGCCAGGGCTAGAAGGAGAATGACACAGAGGAGACAGTAAGGGCGCCTCACCAATCACGAGGACGACGACGAGGGTTATTTCCAGATTAGCCGAGAGGATGTCCATGCGGGGTCCGACCATCAGAGTAGTGTTTGCTAGATTCTCTCGCTCACCATCTATCTGCATGTACCATCGGTCCCCCTTCATCTACCTTGCTGTGTCTTGCTGTATGTCTGTCTGTCTGTCTGTCTGGCTGGCTGGCTGGCTGGCTGGCTGTCTGTCTGTCTGTCTGTCTGTCTGTCTGTCTGTCTGTCTGTCTGTCTGTCTGTCTGACTCTCTCTCTCTCTCTCTCTCTCTCCCTCTGTCTCCCTCTACTGCACAGCTCGGCCCTGATGGTCAACGTAGCAGCGACCAGCAATAGGCTGCGCTCGCCGCTGGGCTCAATATATTGATGAATGCGGTAGGACGCATGTTGTTCTCTGCGCCGCAGAGGCAGCGAGGCCAGGCAGGTCTGACATAACTTCAAGACCTCTGTAGTGTGTTCACTTCTGAGCGCACAGTGCATATGTCTAAATCGATGTAAATGTATATATACTGAGGGAGAGAAAGAGAGAAAGAGAGAGAGAGAGATAGAGAACAACGAAGATATAGAGGTCATTGGGTAGACACATGTATGTATATATGTACACGGGCTTCTGCTTTATATAATATGTCGCAATTTCATACACTATTTGTTTTCACCTGTATCATTTGTATAAACACATTGGAATTACTGTGTAGAAGGTGCTGTCTGCTCGCCACTGAAATAGCTCTGCAGCCTCATACGCATTCTCGGGCTGTCTCTTGTGCCTGGGCTGTCGTGGGGCCGTCCAGGGCCAGCTTGGAGCCATCTCCGGCTGTCCTGCGCCTATCTTGGGCCGTCTCGGTCTTCTCCAGACGCCCTCAGGGGCCATCTTAGGCCGCGCTCTGGGTTCTCTGGGAGGTATCGTGGGCTCCTCTGGAGCTTTCCTGGTACCGTCCGGGGACGTGTGTAGACGCTCTGGTCGTGGCTCCTGTCTGCGAGGGTGGCCCGACAGCGTCTGGAAGCGTTCCTGGAGGTGTTGTTGGGTCGTCCGGCGCCTTGTTGGAGCCATCTTGGAAGTGGGGAATTCCTGTCGCGTCGCGGGCTGCACGCCAAGAATGCGTAAAGCCTGGGTGTTGCCACCACGGTCTGTGGCGCGCTGAGGAGGGGGAGGCCTTTGGGAGGTCCACTGGTTGTTCCTGCGAGGTGATTGGGAGCCTCCGTGGGTCCTGTGGGGCTTCCGAGATGACATTTGGGCAGTTTTTGATTACTTGGGGAGCTCGGGGCCCAGCCTCCCCCGTCGGTTTTTGCGTTTAGGCGAATCATGGTTTTATGTCTTGTGCCGATGACTTGATTATGTTTGTACTCTCTCTCTCTCTCTCGCTCTCTCTCTCTCTCTCTCTCTCTCTCTCTCTCTCCCTCTGTATATATATATACATATATATATATATATATATATATATATATATATCAGTGGTGGGCAATGATAGCTCCCCCTTTCGCTCGACGAATTCATATCACTGCCGCCCCTGCAAGTGATACCCCTGGCCACGGTCCCAGAATCTCAAAATGCAGTACTCGCCTCAGCGCCTCGCACATTCGTGGTAATTTGGCAGGGGCTTCACGTAGTGAGGGCGGGCCCTTTTCAGAATGTCTCTCTTGCCGTGGCGCCGCGCATATTCGATTCAAAGGCTTGCAAGAGCTTCACGGATCGAGGGCGGACCCTTTTCAGCATGTGGCTCTCGCCGCGCACATTCGCTTTCAAGCTTCGCAGCAGCTTTACGGATCGAGGGCGAGATCTTTTTCATAATGTTTTGTTCGCCTTGGCGCTGCGCGCGTTCCTTGAAAAGGGATGCTGGAGCTCCACAGATGGAGGGCGAGTTTTTGTTGTCATGCTGCCTTTCTCTTCACGGATGGTGGGCGGGTCTTTTGCAACATGTGAGTTTCGCCTTAGTGTTACGCGGATGCGTTTTAAGGGCACGCAAAGGCTTCACAGATGGAGGGCGGGTTTTTCTCAAAATATGTGTGTAACCTTAGCGCCGCGCACATTCGTTTTAAAATCTTGCAGATCTCCAGGAATTCCTAGGACCCCAAACGTTCCACACAGGCTACGGAAGCAAGGTGGCGCGAGGTTTTTTTAATAAATTTTGGAACGCATTCTGAGCCAATCAGATCATGACATCCCTCTCGTCCGACCAATCTCTGACGTCAGTGCTTGCATCCGATGTTTGTTTGCTTTCCCTGTGTGCTTCTCTGCCACGCGCGCGAGCCGCGCGAGGTCAGGGTGATCCACGACGCTCTCGACCAGTCAGGCCACCCGGAGCTGGAAGCAGAGGGGAAGGAATGACCTCTTGGCTGTGAGGGCGGGCTGGGGCGACCCGGCTGCTACGACTCGCTCTGTGGCACCATGCCATCATGCCCTCCACCGAGGGGATGATGCAGTGACTATGCCCGCAGCGGTGGTTGCCGGTGGGAGGAAGGTGGGAAGCAGGGAGGGGCGCAGCGGAAGGGGGGATGGGGAGGGGGAGAGGAGGAAGAGACAAGCTTTAAGTCGGGCCTGTCCTTCTACAGGGGAATATTCAAAAATGGTTGAACAATAGTCTGGGGACGATTTTTTCATCCTACCCCTCCTTCCCCTCCCCTCCCATTGCGCTGGTTCTCTCTATATCCGCCCACGGGTATCACGGCGGTCCTGGAAAACCCAAAAGGACACCCATCGTGCGACGCGCAATCTGAACAAGGGTGGCTGTGCACGCTGGAGGAGGGAGGAGGCGGCGAGTATGAGCAGCAAGACGGGGAAGGGGGGACGACGAGGAGGAGCGGCAGCAGGAGGCAGCAGGGGGGGGGGGGAGCAGCAGGGCCGGGGGGGAAAGCGGAGGGAGGAGGAAGAGATGGGGCGACAACGACGAGGCAGCACTCGGATCCATCCTGGGCTGGTGCGAGAGCGCCCTTTTCTCAGCGGCGGGAGCAGAGCGAGCAGCTCCTAACAAGGAGGCCAGCCAGCGCTGCAGCGGGGGCGCCATGTTTTCGGAGGGGCCGAGACCGTGCGCTTGGGAAATTTGCGGCCAGGAAGAAATCAGGAGGGAAAGAAACACACAGACACAATGAATCGTCGATTCTCCAGAAAATATGAGAAAATATGGGAAGTGGGGGGGAAGACACAAACCCAGAACATATGGGAAACTATGGGGAATCCTTTTATTTGTGTGTATTTAGTTGTGTGTCCCAGGGCCCCTTCAAGAAAAACGAGCTTGTGCCAATTCCTTGCGCGTGTGAAGCAATGCGCGAAGGCGGGGCGCGTCGGTCTCAGAGGATTATTTCTGTTGGGGGGGAGACAGGAGAGTCGCACTCAGATCGAGACAGCTTGCTTGTGAATAGATGAGGGGCACCGAAGGGGCAGGGCTCGCAGATGGGGTGGGGAGGAAAAGGAGGTGGGGAGGCGATGCCGAACGGGGGGAGCTGGTGAGCGATATTTTTGGGAAGGGGTCCCAAGGATGCGAGAGAGAGAGAGAGAGAGGAGAGGAGAGGAGAGGAGAGGAGAGGAGGCGAGACAGAGACAGAGAACACACACATATATATATATAGAGAGAGAGAGAGAGAAAGAGAAAGAGCAAGAGAGAGAGAGAAAGAGAGAGAGAGAGAGCAAGCCTGCGATGGGAAAAGAAAAGGGGGGAGGGGGGGAGGGGGGGAGAGAGAGAGAGAGAGAGAGACAGAGGCAGAGACAGAGTCAGAGACAGAGACAGAGACAGAGAGCGACAGGAGAGGAGAAAGAGAGAGAGAGAGAGCGAGGCAGAGGCAAAGAGAGAGAGAGATACATATACATATGTATGTATATAAAAATTCGTGAAGGACAGGAAGAGGCAGAGAGGCAGACGGAGTCAGAGACAGACACAGAGGATTGGCAGGCGCAGCAGCAGTAGCAAGAGCGAGCGAGAGAGAGAGAGAGAGATCAAGGTCGGTGGAGACGGGAGGAAGTGTAGACAGGCATAGCCAGGAAGAAGCGAGTAGCTGCAGATTGGGGTCGTAGTCGTGCGGGTTGTTGGGCAATCGCTGAGATATCTATAGTGAGAGAGGGAACGAGAGAGAGAGAGAGAGAGGGAGAGAGAGAGAGAGGGAAAAGAGAGAGGGAAAAAGGGAGAGAAAGAAAGAGAGAGAGAGAGAGAGAAAGAGAGAGAGAGAGGGAAAGACCGCGAGAGCGAGAGAGAGAGGGAGAGGGAGAGGGGGAGAGAGAGAGAGAGAGAGAAGGAGAGAGGGAGAGAAAGAGAGAGAGAGAGGGAGAGAGAGGGAGAAAGAAAGGGAGAGGGAGGCAAAGACAGAGCGAGAGTGATAGAGAGCCCTTCCAGCCTCGATTCTACCTCGACTCCCCCGTTCCCCCCAGGCCTCAAGACTGCAGGCACTTCGTTGTCTCCGCAGCGTGGCCCCCGGAGGCTTGATTTACGGCCCTAAAACAATGGGCCGGGCAACCAATCCCAAGGGCCGGAGCAGGCGAAACATGTTCCATCGTGATTGCGTCGCGAGGGTGTCAAAAGTCGACCCCTGGACCTGTCATGGATTTCGTGTCGGCGAGAACTTCAAGGCGGCAGGACACACAGGGCAGAACAAAACAAAGAAATCCTCGATCGCCGAAGTTGGATCCTCGAGTCTTCCCCTCCCCAGACATCCGACGATATTTTCGTTCATCCTGGATTCTCTGATCGTCCCAAATCGAGAGAAACCTATTCCTGTTCTGAAGCATTCATTATCGTCGGAGATCTGGGCACTTTTTCATGCCGACTGCGTCGTGCCGCGCCCATCCAAACCTGGGAGGTTGAGCTCAGCCTTGGCACTAGTATGCCCAGAGCCGAAAACTGGCCTAATCCGTCATGATCCCGCGTAATCCGACTTCATCCTGCTCAGCCCGGTACCCTCACAGTCTTGTTCTGTGCAATCCGGCTTCATGGACCCTTCATGTGGTTTAGTAGCCTTGAATATTGAAGAGTCTGGGTTTCGCAAGGGATCGGTTTCTCCAGAATGATCGAAAATCTTAGAAAGCCCGCCCAGAAGGGCTCCAGGAGGCTTTTCGGATGGTTTCGGGAGGGTTGCGGGACGGTTTCGCTCGCACGGGAGGAAACCAGTAACTAGCGAATCAAGGACATCCTAAGCCTAGTCGTTTTTACGACGACTCGGGTAAGAGATCGACTACAGAACTGATTTGCCACAGAATGGAAGTGTTTGTCGAATGTACAAAACAGATGTAGAACGCGCGTAGGACTCCGAACATTCTGCATTTTCGTCCAGAGTCTCACGACGTTCCAAAGCTGTTTTTCCCAACTCGACCGCAGACGCCTCCCCACGCTGCGAGGCTCCGGCGTCCGGCTGCGGGTGGGCGCGGCCACGCTCGAGAGCCTCACCAGCCTGCTGACCCTGGCCCGCAGCGGCACCCGCAGGCGGGCCGCTGCGGCCTCGAGTGCCGGGTTCGAGCGACAGGGGGGGGGGGGGGGGGAATAGGGGAAAGGGGGGGAGAGGGGAAGGGAGAGCGAAGGGGGGGGGGGCCGGGAAGGGGGGGGGAGAGGGGACGGGGAGGGGGGGGAAGGGAAGGGGGGAGAGGGGAAGGGGGGAGGGACAGGGGGGAGAGGGGGAAGAGGGGGGGTACGAAACCTGCTGCATGCAGCTGGTTTGGGCCCCGCCGCCGGGCCCATTCCTCGATACTTACAGGGGCGCCCCCCGGCGCCGGGAGGCGCTGGGAGAATCGGCTACGTGAGCTGGTTCTCTCTACCCCACCCTTTGCTAACCCCCCCTTTCGTCCCCCCCGAGAGTAATTAGGAGATCGATTTCAGCATCGATTGAACCCCCAAAATCGTTGTTTCTTCGAGGCGGTGAAGAACGCACAGGTTTGTTGCATCTTTTTGCGCAGTGCACGTATTATTTGAATATTCTACGAGATCAAACAATTTTGAGATACAGCAATTCTGTAGTCGATGTCCTACTCGAGCCGTGGCGGGTGGCCGCCCGCGTGTGGCGTCTGCCACCGCGTCTGCGCTGTTCCATTGCATTCACAGGGGGGCGTTTTGGGACCCAGGCCCCCTCGAGTCGTGAAAAAGTTACGGCGGGGCCGGGGGGGGGCAGTTTTCGGCCTCTTGGGGCCCCTGCCAGGCTTCGGGACCGTCAAACAAAGATTTGGGATGAACGTCCGATCCTGGGGAAGGGGTCGAGAACTCCGGGGGTCACGTCATGAGCAAAATCATGACGTCGGGGGTCTGAGGATCGCTCTTCCTCCTCCTCCTTCCTCCCCATCCTCCTCCCCGCCCTCCACCTCGCCCCTCTGAACTGGTTCAGTGGAGATCCGTGGGTGATCTCGGTGGGCGTGGCGGTGCACCAGTGGAGATCGGCGTGCTGGGAGGGCAGCCCCAAACCTAAGGTGCTCCAGAAGACTCCAGAAGCATCCCAGGGTAGATGTTCCTCGCCAGCCCTGTCAGCGCAGTCTTGCCCGTGGGGGTTCCCGATGTCTGTGGACTGGCTTCGCCTGTTTGTGCCGTGGGACCTCCCCCGGCTGGTCTTCACACCGGCAGCGGGCCTTGCGGGCCCTGTTCTCGGGTGTTTGGGGGGTCCCAGGTCCGCCTTGCACACACACAGACACACACACGCACGCACGCACGCACGCACGCACGCACGCACGCACGCACGCACGCACGCACGCACGCACGCACGCACGCACGCACGCACGCACGCACGCACGCACGCACGCACGCACGCACGCACGCACGCACGCACGCACGCACGCACGCACGCACGCACGCACGCACGCACGCACGCACGCACGCACGCACACACACACACACACCACACACACACACACATCACACACGCACGCACACATCATACACACATCACACACACACCATCACACACACACACACATCACACACACACACGCACGTACACACACACATCACACACACACACCACACACACACACGTCTTGGCCGACAGCCCTGCTGCCCGCTCTGCGGCGACCCTAACGGGTCGATTCGGCATAGGTGTTGGGAGTGCGATGCGCATGCTAGGCTTAGGCGAGGCAGGGCTTCTCAGGGCGTCATGGAGCGGGCCCTAAGTTCGAGGAGATCGACTACAGAATTGATTATCCCCTGAATTGTCGTAGATTACGTTGCATCTTCGGGGGGCCTCGCCTGTCCCCCAAAATCGGTGTCTTTTCTTGTGCCCGACGCGGGCTCGATGCGGACTCGACGCGGATTTGGATTGGATTCGGCGCGGATTCGACACGGAATCGACACGCATCGTACGAGCCCGACATGGATTCGACATGGATGCGGGACAGGGTGGTCCCCCGAGGACAGCGTGGGTCCCCAGAGGATGCAACACAACGCAGATCTATTGCATATTCTATGCAATTTTGGGCGATTCAACGAGCATAGCAATTATGTCGTACAGCAACTCGGTAGTCGATCCCTTACTCGATGAATACCAAGGCGTGGCCCTGTGAGGCGGGCGAATGCTTTGCTCGAGGGATGCTTCCCGACCCACGCCCGCTGCTGCCACGTCTCAGGGGGCGGCCCCGCCCAATCTCTTGGTACCAGCGGCCCGAGGCGGGCTACCTCCTCCCTGTTTCTGGGCGGTTCTGTGACGCTTCCTGCAGCGCATATGGTTTGCCGAGTTGGCTCGGCGGTGGTGATGCGCAGTCGTTTCGGGAAGGCCCTTGCCGCCCCGCGCGGCCCAGTGCCGGTGGACTCCGCCCCGTTCGAGACAGCCAGAGATGCGGTGGTCTTATTTGTCATCATGTTTTGCCCACTGACCACGCTTCCGTGTCAACTTGATACAGATTTCAAGGACACGTTTTCTATTTCGTGGGTGGGTCCTGGTGTTGGCTCAGGCGTCGGGAACTCTCGGGCCCACGTGTAGTCGAAGTTTTGGGCGACGTTCGAGCCCAACGGGTTCGAGGCCCACAGAATTAAGGACCCCTGCATGGCTTATGGGCAGAAGGATATCACGACCCTCTGGGAGACGAGAGGTAGCGCCGCGGCAGGCGAATTCGCTAAGCATAGAGCCGAGCAGCACGGAGGGCGTGAGACTGACTACCGCCGCTGGCGAGGCATAGCCGAGCTGGCCCGAGAGGCTAGCAGATAGAGTTGGGGGTTGTGCGCTGCTGTAGGCGACGGGATGGAGGCGTCGGATCACACTGGCCTTGTTTTTTTTGCCAGCGCAAGGCCGAGGAGGTTTCGCGCCAGGCTGCCAGCAGGTCCTCTCGACACATTGCCGCCGCGCAGCTTGCCCCTCTAGAAGCTCCAGGGCATAAGCTTTTTCAGTGCTGTGCCACAAGCTCCAGAGCCTGAGCTTTTCCGTGATGTGTTCGAGAGTTCCGAGGCATGGGCTGCAACTTCAGTGGGCGCGTTTCGTTGCATGCGCGAGTGACCCCTCGGTCAGGCAGGGAGGATGGGATGTCCGTCCTTTTGTTTGTTGTGCCTGCGGAATATTTTCTCTCTCTCTCTCTCTCTCGGCCTCAACCCGCTGGGGCCCGTCTCAGGCCGTGCCGCAATCCGCGCGTCACCTCCGACAGTTTTTGTTTCTGCAGCCTGGTGTTAGGGGCACCTTCGACGACCCCCGAAGTCCAACCTCATCTGCGTCCACCTCGCCCCTGCCCCAGTCGGCACCCAGCTCGGCGCCGTCAGAAGACAGCATACGGAACGTGGCGCTCTCTTGGAGCTTGGATTATTTGTGTTTTGTTTGTTGTTCAGGCCAGAGCCCCGCCCCAACGACAGAGTCCCGCCCCGTTGCCCCGTGCTCCCCGAGTGGATTCCGAGCAGATGGGGTCGGAGGACAGTGCCGCGTCGCTGGTGCATCGGCGGTGGGGCTCCATGTGGGGCCCGCTTTCTCCACCTCGACGTCTCCGCTGCATCGCCGATGCATCGCCGATGCATGGGCGTTGCGGCGCGTTCCTCCGAGCCCCTCTCCGCGGAGCCCACGGTGGGAGGCCTGCAGACGGATGCCCGCCGTCCGTTTCGTCGACCGACCCGGGGCCCGGTGCTGGCCCCCACGGGGCCGAGCACGGCAGAACAGTTGCTGTCCTGATATGGTCTTTCGCGATGGGAGAAGGAAGCTCGGGGGCCCCAAAGCAGCGCGGCGACCACACCGTGTGGTGAGTCAGTGGGTGTCCGGGGTCACCGCGCGGCTTCGGGACTGGGGTTGTCCTTCAAAGACGTCCCGGGCGACTGGGGCCGCCAGGGTCCCGACGCCGTGCGGTGACGGACCGCGCGGTGAGGTCGCGGGGGATTCCGAAGTCATTCGGCGGTCCGTCATCACACGGTGTCGGGACCCTCGGGAACCTGCAGCAGCCCCTTCCCACCTCTTCGGCTCTCGGGTCGTAGCTCGGCGCTCCAGCGGCCGTTCGGGGCGACCCGGACACCCCTGGAACGCCCTCGTGGCGTAGCTGCTGAAACTCGGCGGTGAGCGAGGGGGGGAGTGAGAAGGGGCGGGCCTTCCCAGAAGGCTCGGAAGTCACCAGGCCTTCTGAAAAGTTTCTCAAGCGTTCCCCGAGGACAGAATCTTCTCAGAAGGCAGGAGGGATTCTGAGAAGTCTCGCCGCCCTCTGAGAAGGCCTTCGCCTTCGGTAGCAAATCATGGGAGCCTGGTATAATTCAGTCGTCACCGTCGATTGGCGTCGATTGGCGTCTGGGAGTCGATGAGGTAGTGCTGATTTAGCGTCGGTCAGCGTTGATCAGCATCGATTCAGCGTCGATTTAGCGTCGATTAGCGTCGACCAGCGTCGATCAGCACCGACTCGCAAGAGCCGACAAGATGTATATGGGAGGCTGTATGGGAGGCTCCCATGAGTTGCCACCGAACCTTCTCCTTCTCGTGTTCCCCCCCGCGCTCGCCGCCGAGGAACGCACCCCGGGGCCGGCACACCGCCGAGGACCGACGCACGCACCCTTACCGAACGCGCTCCACGACTCGCATAAGTGCCTTTTCGCGAAGCGAACGCCTGGGCCAAAGACGTGCCCTCCCGTGTGCAGCGGATCGTCGGTCCTCCGCGGCGGAGCCGGGCCAGTTTGCGAGTCGGTGGAGCGCGCGTGTTCCGGTGCCCGGACGAAAAGTGTCCACACCCATGGCGGTAAGGCGATGCAACACGATGACCACCACAACTGCGAAATGCCACTGCTTCGCACCCCTCCCTCCCCCACGAAACCAGAGTTGAGGTGTCCACATGTTCTCCCTGCCCTGTGGCCTACCGCCCACACCCGTCAACTTTGCATGTTGGGGACGGGGGATCCACATCCTGGTCCGAAGTGCTCTGATAACTCGAGGTCTTGGCGAGACACGTGCGGACACTTTCAAGCAGTGGCGAAGCGTCCTGGCTCGCCTTTAGCCCCACCGAACAATGTTTTAAGAAGCTTTTGTGGTTTCCACGAAATGTTCTTAGAACATTTCTGGCGGAGTTTGTTTTGTTTTATCACATCGGGTTTATGTTCTAAGAACCTTGTTTTTGTCCTTAGGACATTCTGGGGTTCTAAGAACATTCCGTGGTAGGACTATAGGAATGCCGGGACGGCCGGTCCCTGCTCAGAGGGAGGCCCGCTCCCTTTTCGGATGATTGGAGGGGCCCGCCCGCGGCGCGCCGAGGGGCCTCGCGCTCCACCTGTCGGCGCACGCCCACAAGGACGAGACGCGGGGCGTCGGGCTCATGCTGGAGGCGCGTCGGCCCCCCCGTTCTCAGAGTCCTCCTCCTCCTCCTGCTTCTCTTCCTCCCCCTTCTCCTCCTCCTCATCCTGCTTCTCCTCCTCCTCCTCCTCCTCCTCCTCCCCCTCTTGCTTCTCCTCCTCCTCTTCCTCCTCCTCCTCCTCCTCCCACTCCTCCCCCTCCCCCTCCTTCTCCTCCTCCTCCGCCTCCTTATCCTTTTCCTCCTCCTCCTCTTTCTCCTCCTGTTCCTCCTCCTCCTTCTCCTCCTTTTTGTACCTCCTCGGAGGACGCTTTCGGTAGCAAATCATGGGAGCCCTGTATACCCTCGCAGGTCCGTTTTCAGCGTCGACCATCGTCCGTCGATTAGCGTGTGGGAGTCGATGGGATAGCGCCGGTGCAACGTCGGCTTGCGTCGATCAGCGTCGATCTAGTGGCCTAGCGTCGACTAGCGTCGGCGAGCGTCGATTCGCAAACGCCGACAAGATGGTATGGGAGGCTCCCACGAGCTGCCACCGAACGCCCCCCCCTCTCTCGGAGGAGGCAAAGGTGCCCACACCGCTTCCCTCCCTTCGTTTTTGCCGTTTTGGGGGCCTGCCGGGAGGCCCTCGTCGCCGCACCGCACCCCGGGGAGAGGTCCGGGGGGATATGAACCCCTGGGTCTGGCAGGGCCCCGCAGACGGGGTCGGCCGCGACAAGTGCGGTCACGGGAAGTGCCGATCGAAGAAGACCAAGCACCCAAAGCATGACTGCTTGGCCTTCCGCGCGGATTTCCTGGATCCGCGCTGGGGCCCCCGCACCTCCGGCGTCGCCCCTGGCGCGCTCCGCGCGCCAGGGAGGGGGGTCCAGCGCGGATCCAAGAAATTCGCGCGGAGCGCCAGAAGTTTATGTTATGCAGTTGTCCTTTCTTCTAGCTCAGAATGCATGTGCGCAAAGTAACACCACTTGGACAGAGACTGGCGCAGGACAGTTGCAAGCCCCGATGCGCTGTCTCGACGCGACCGCTCCTGCTATCAGGTGCGAGCCCCTCCGGAAAAGGAAGCCGATCTCCCACCTAGGATCCAACCCCCCGGCCAGCTGGCCACGCTCGATTTGGGGGGGAGTCCGGCGACGCGGGGGCGGAGATCGGGTGCGTGAGGGTGCAGCGCCGACTCGCCTTTGCTCTGCACGCATGCCGTGAAGTAAGAACCCATACCCGTCGGTCGTTGAACGTATGTTTTCTTGGACGTCCAGATCCCAACCTACGTCAATCGCTGCTGAACTTCAAGAGTCGGTATGTTTTTGCTGTGTGTTGTTGCTCTCTGGGATGGCCTGAAACAAATCTATGTGTGCCGCCTGCCTACTTTATGTGTTTCATGCACTTCTTCCGGCCGGCGCGGATTTGTTTGCGTTCAGTGAATGGTTTTGTTGGTGGCCTCTGAGTGTAGTGTCTGAGCGCGCTATTTCTGTGAGGGGCTTTTGCTGACAAACAAAAGGAGCCTCGTTCCTTCTTTAGGGTTCTTGATGGCAGCGTTTCGACACTGACACCAGCACCCTCCCGTTTTTTGTTTGCCGTGCCTCGAATTTTCGGGTCGGGCGAAAGGGGGGGATTGGGAAAGGGGGGGTTACGAAATTTGCTGCATGCAGCTGGTTTCGGCCTCACCGAGGGGCCCATTCCTCGATACATGGCCGCCCCGGCGCCGGGAGGCGCCGGGAAAATCAGCTACGTGAGCTGATTCTCAAACCCCCCCTTTGCTATCCCCCCCTTTCGCCCGACCCGAAATTTGCGCCCCTCCTTCCTCGCACGTTGCTTGCCCATTAGTTACCTTCATGCTTCCCTGCCTATCGGTTGCTTGTCCTCCGCGTCGCTGTCCTCCACGCCTTACTTGCCGTCCCCTGCCTCCCTCAGCGCTGGACGGCTTGACGTGTCCCCGCTCACAGGATTGACGGGTACAGCAGTTATGCGCCTTGTTGATTCGGCGGCGACCCCAGCGCGGGCATTCAATGTCTAAGCCGCCGGGGGTCCGCTGCTGCATGCGGGGGGCCGCTCAAGATTCGACGTTCTATGCGGTGCCGGAAGACAGTGGCAACGCCGGCACCACAGGAACCAGCCGCAGACGGGATGCGCCCAGACTGCGGGACCCGCCACGAGGAGAGGGGGGGCCGGGCCGAATGCCCAGGAGGCTCGAGGAGGAGGGGATCTCTGCTATGGGAACGAACAATGACATAGACATGACAACTCGGAGGTCCACAGGATTTCTCGGATCGGCGCCGGACCCCCCTCGCTGGCGCGCGGAGGGCGCCAGGGGCGGCGCCGGAGGCGCCGGCAGGGTGCCCCAGCGCCGATCCGAGAAGTCCGCGCGGACCTCCGAGATTTTGATGTTTATGTATGTCATTGCTTGTTCCCGCAATTCGACTCGAGGAGGAGGAGCTCTGCCCTCCTGGCCCGAGGACGAGTTCGGGGTGGGCCACCTGTACTACAGGGATCAGCTGGAGGACCCTGGGGAGCAGGGGCTCGCGGCCGAGGCCTTCGCGGCTCTGGGCCCACGGGCTCATTTTGTTCGAGGCTTCGGGTCAGTGCGCAGCCAGGCTCCACCCCCCAGACCCCCTCGCGTCGTTTATAATACATATACTCAGAGCCCCGAATCATCAGGGGTAACTCGGGTCAGGGATAACTCGGGTTCGTTTTTCGGGAATCCAAACCCGAGTTACCCTGGACCCGAGTTACCCCGGATAACTCGGGTGTCCAGAGCCCCGAATCATCAGGGGTAATTCGGGTCAGGGCTAACTCGGGTTCGTTTTTCGGGAATCCAAACCCGAGTTATCCCGGACCCGAGTTACCCCGGATAACTCGGGTGCCCAATATACATACACATACAGACATACAGACATACTTGCATACATAAATATTTGATTTCATACGTATATGCATCCATACAAGCATACACACATACCGAACATTCATACACACACACTCACACATGCATATGGATGCATATGGACATGCATGCATACAGACATTCATACATTGGTGCAGGCGCACATACATACATGGATACGCATACACACTTACATATGCACATGCATGTACATATACACGTTCGTATATGTGCAGATGCACACTTGTATACATACATATACATATACATATATGTACAGTTGCCCCTACATTTTTATATATATACACTTACACGCACACATATATGCATATACATACATAACTGTACACATACACATATACTTCTACATATATACGCACCATGCACATACACATTCGAATGCGCATCCGTTGACATGTTCATATACACATACATATGTGTTTATGATTTCAGGTACCGCGCCAGAAACATATACATATACATATACGCGTATACATATATACATATACATTTACACATACATATACATATGCGCCTATATCCGCACACATAGATGTGTTGATATACATCATCATTCTCGTATGCGTATGCATATACCTCTACATCCACATTTACATACAGATTCACCGAACACGCGACGGAAAGTGTCTTGTCGTGTTTGGCCTTTGGGGGTCCTTGCCAGACCGTGGGACGGTCAAACAATCATTCCAGATGTGTCGCCGGTCCCTGAGAATGGGTCGAGACCTGTGGTGGTCACGCCTTGGAAAAGCACGGCGCTGGGGCCGAAAAGGGGACGCGTACAGCAACGAGTAACATGTGCACAGCTCAAGACAGGCTCCGCGTAATTTACGCCCCGGACCCTGGATGCGTCGTGGCATCGACCTCGAGCTGGCTCGGTGGTCAACAGCCGCGCCTACCGGCAGGTGCTCCTCGGAGGTCTCTTGCCCCCCAGTGGCCCAAAGGACCTATATTGAAGCCCTGGGGCACGTTGCGAAGCTCAAGCTCTCTTTGGGCTCTCGCGGTGGCCTTACGGGCCCTCATGGGGGCCGTTTTGGAGGGCATCGAGTAGAACAGGGGACGGCGCGGATTGGCGCTGCCTCCTGGAGCCCGAACGACTGCATTTCGGCGCCCTCTTGAGACGCTCTTGGGGCCCTCTTGGAGCTGTCCTGGGGCGGGTTGGCGTGGTCTTGCTCCATGGCCACATGTAACTGTCCTGAGATGTTCCTGTGGCCTCTTGGAGTCGACTGCACGTAAGAGTGACGACCTTTGGTATGGGCTCATCGGAGCCCGCACGATCGCTGATCGCCTTTCGATAGCGGCTGCTTCGCATCTGGGTTTGCTCATTTTGCGCCCACTGCCTCCGCGCACCAAAGGTCACTCTTGCCTAGGGTCACTCTTGCGTGTAGCCGCTTGAGGCATTATGGAGGACGCATGGAGCCAGATTGAGCAATATTGGAGGGCATCTTGATCTGTCTGAAATCATATCGGAGCCATCTTGGCCAACGCGCCTCCAACGGACGCCCCCCATATGTCAAACTTTGTGAAACAACCTGTCGGTTACTTGAGTTTGGCTTCTAGCGGAGGTGCCGGCGTGAATTTGTTCCGCTCCCTTGAGACAGTCAATTCGCTTTCTGAGGCCCTCTCAGGACGCTGTTGGGGTGCTCTGGGGCGCTCTTGGGGCTTTCTTCAAGCTCTGATGGGCTCATCTCGGAGGCTCTCTCGGGCGATGTTGGTGCCATGTTGAGGCATCGGAGGCCTCTCGGGAGCAACACGGGGAGAAGACACAACTCATCGGTTTTCTTCCGATGCTTGAATGATGCTGGCCTCTCGGGGGGTCCTTTGGGGTCTCCGCGGCCACTATGGGTTGTCTCTGTATTGGGGCTATTTTGAGCCATCTTGGCCTAGGTCATACAGGGCTGTCTAGAACCATCTTGGACCGTCTTGGCCTCGCGAACTGTCCGCGGGCCAGGCAACGAGAAGGCAGGGGGAGGGGTGAAGTTCCCAGCGGGAACGCGACAAGCTGTCTCGCTCATTCCCATCTGCCCTCCCTCCATAGGCTAATACGAGTACTGGTAGCACCCGAGACTCCATCGATGCAGAGGTCGCCATCGGATAGACATCGACTGGGAGCCGATGCTGACGCCAGGGGTGCGACGCTCTCGAGTTGCGCCCAGGTGCGCCGCGCGCGCGCACCAGGTGGGACCGCACAGTTCTCCTTCGTTCGCCGATCCTTCCTCCTCACGTTCGCCCTCCCTCCGCCTTGCTCCGGCCGTGCCTCCCGGGTTTGGTGACATGGCGAGGTGGTTCGCTGTGCCAGCTGATGCGCCAGTTGGACGCCCCTGTAGCTTCAGCGACGCGAGCTTCACCCGGGCCTTGTGGGCTCCGTGCTTCGTGTGGAAAAATCAGAAATTATGAGCTCGCGGGTTGAGAGAGAGACTCGGGCGGGTGGTAATGGGGGGTGACCTGAATAGGGGGGAAGAAAAGGGCCCTAAAGGGGCCCTTTGGGGCCCCAATCTGGAGCCAGATGGTACTACACAAAGGAAACCTTCAGGGACCCCTCTGAGGCCTTTCTCTCCACCCCCATATCTAGGTCACCCCCCATCAGTCGGAGGAGGAAATGGTACCCATACGGCTACGCTTCGCTCGTTTTCCCCGTCTTGGGCCTCGTGTGAGGCCATCGTCGCCACCGCTGGATTCGCCTCGGAATGCTGGTCAGAGCGCATCCCGGTATCTGTGCCTTTTGTAGGGAGACAAAGAGTGACATAAACATAAAAATTCGGAGGTCCGCGCGGATTTCTCGGATCGGCGCTGGGGCCCCCCGGCGGCGCCTCCGGCGCCGCCCCTGGCGCGCTCCGCGCGCCAGGGAGGGAGGTCCAGCGCCGATGCGAGAATTCCGCGCAGACCTCCGAGTTTTTATGTTTATGTCACTGTTTGTCTTCCTATCTTGGCGTCCCCAAATACCACCTGCCCGAGACACGGCGGGCACATGCTCACACCCCCGCCGCCCCCCTGGTCAGAAGCCGGCGAAGCGTGCTCGCGGCGGCCTCGGCCGCGACGGCCAGAGATTCGAGCAGGGGCGAACCGTCCTGTCGTGCTTGTCTCAGGAGGGAAAAAACACAAACAGACACAATTAATCGTCGATTCCCCAGAAAATATTAGAAAATATGGGCAGTGGGGGGGAGACAGAAACCCAGAACATATTGGAAAATATGGGGGATTATTTAATTTGTATGTATTTATTTGTGTGCCCTGGGGCCCCTTCACAATCGGCCTACCAAATAATGTTCTAAGAGCCTTTTGTGGTTTCCACGGGACGTTCTTAGAACATGTCTGGCCTGGACTGTCTCTTCTTGTGAAAGCAATAACACACCAGGGTCATGTCCTGAGAGCGGTGTTCTTGCTCTTCGAACATCTCCGGGTTCCAAGAACACGCCGTGGTGGGCCCCATGGGACTGCCGGGATGGTCGGTTTCTGGTCGAGCGATGCTGCCGCCGCGTGCGCCGCCGTGCAGCTTGTTGCCGCGTCGGGGTGCGGGCGGCGGGCGCCCGCGCGCGGCGGCCGCGCGGTCCGCCGGCCGCGGAGTGTAATAGCGCCCACCGTCCGGTCGGGGACTGCAGGGCGGGCGTGTCCCCCTGCAGGAGGAGGAGGAGGAGGAGGAGGAGGAGGAGGAGGGGGGAGGAGGGAGGAGGAGGGAGGGGAGCGCACGTCCCCAGAGAGAGAGGGAGAGAGAGAGAGAGAGCAGGTCAGACTCGAGACGGGCTGGACGGGGCGGGCTGGACGGGACGGGTCTCCCCCAGGAGGCTTCAAGAGGACCGGTCACAGCACAGTATGGGGCGATGGATGCTTCGGGCTCTTTGGGCTCTGTTTGGGTCTGGTTTCGCCGTACGTGGTTTGGTTTCTCTTCCAAAAGTCCGCCCGCAGGCGGTCCGTGGCCATGTTGGCTCGAGTCCTGAACTTGGAACTAACACCCACACGCACATTACTTTTCGCAGCTTCGATGGCCAAGATGTTTGTTCGATACCTTGTGATCGCCGTCTTGGCCGTGTCGTTCGGTGCAGGGCATGGGTGGGCTTGCCACGGCTCCACAGAGTGCCAGGCCGACGTCCAGCTGATGCAGACCATGGCAGTCCCCAGCGCGATCAGGGCCAACGCGAGCAGGGCCAACGCCGTGGTCGGTGTCAACATCGCCCGGAAACCAGGTGGCTCAACATTGATAGTGAAACGGCTATCCGAGGCGACTGGCATGAAGGCGGCCATGGAAAGCCAAGCCGTCACCACAATCCAGAGTTCCGGTCTTCTTGCTCAGCCTTTCGTTCTCGCCAACCCAAGCACCGCCATGTCGGTGGCACCTCTGTGGTTTACGTCTACCTCCCTATCTGGTCTTTGAGCGCTCTCCCTATCGGTCAAGGTCTGGAAGAACTGCTCCTGGCTGATTTTCGGAGTTTGGCTGGGTGGACCAACGGCTATCCCCTGTCTGTTACGATTGGCGCTGACGAGAGCTCGGCGACGTCGAACTCGGCCCTGGGAGGCGGTGGTGCCGCAGTGGGGGACCCCCACTTGCAAAACATTCATGGGGAGCGGTTTGACTTGATGCAGCCTGGCGAGCACGTGTTGGTTCATATCCCGAGGCGTGAGGGTATTGAAAAGACCCTGCTCCACGTTCAGGGAGCTGCACAAACTTTGGGCGGTCTCTGTACGGACACGTACTTCACACGCATCAACATAACTGGAAAGTGGCCAAGTGCGCTGCGGCCTGGTGGTTTCATGTTCCGGGCAGACGACCCCGACATCGGTGCAGAGTCTAAATGGATAAATTTACACGGGTCGTCCCAGGGAGTCCAGATCAAGGTCGTCCATGGCCACACGCAGCAGGGAACCCGCTACCTGAATTTCTACGTCAAGAACCTCGGGCGTACCGGCCTACCCGTCGGAGGACTCTTGGGAGAGGACGACCACGAGGAAGCGTCTATTCCCGTCCGCGCCTGTGAGCAGCGCCTGGCCCTGCTCGCGGCATCTGCAGTTACCTCCTGAAGAGGAGATCTGCTGCTTCGCGCTGGCAGAGGCATACTGGATCCCCACGCGATCCAGCGACCAGTGCGCGTACCGTTCATGGTCTCTGGGGGAGGGCGGCTTAATGGTCGTGCTTGGAACAATCGTCTGCGTGTTGAGGAGCGGCGGCAGCCGAGCCTAATGGCTACCAGCAGTGCTGCCTCACTCATTTTCAGCAGTGGCTTCGCGTCGGGTGCCCCTTGACAAAAAAATCCGCCGGCAGGAGGAGATGATCGGCCATGACCGGCCTAAGCCTGGGAACAAGACACCAAGACGCGCCCCCCTCGCCCCCGCATTTCAGGTTTGAACCTCGCAGGAGTGGGCGTTTGCTTCGCAGCACTTCGCGCTCCCTTCCAGCGCGGTGTTCCGCCAACTTTGGGATGCGAGTGTCGGGGGGGGTCCTTTCGATGTTTTTTATTGGCGGGCGTTAGTTTCGCAAACGGCTCTATCTCAGTGCTACTCCGCCTCCCCCAACAGTCGTTTGACCGTTTGCCATAGGTGGCCGTTTTACAAGTTACTTCCTCCTCCATCCCGCACGAGGTCCTTCCTTCGGCGCACCTTTCTGCATGCGGCGATTGGCCCTTCCTCCACCTCCTCCCCCCCCCTTGCCCTCCCATTCCCCATTCCTCCTCCCTGTCGTCGCCGTCCTCCTCCTCCTCCGCCTCCTACTCCTCCTTTTTCTTTTCCTCCTCTTCCTCCTCCCTCTTCCTCCTCCCTCTTCCCTCCTCCCTGCTTCCTCCACCCTCCTCCCCTTCATCCTCCCTCATCCCTCCTCCTCGCTTCCCCCGCGTTACTCCCACTTGTCTTCCCCCTCTTGTTATGTTTTGTTATTTCCAAATCGTTTCCCCCTCTTCTCGTTGTCCCCTCCGTTCAGTTTTGTACTGGTCTGGTGTCGCCTCGGTTCTGGTGTCAAGATTCTGGAGCTTCTGGTCCGCCCCCACGGAGCTTTGACATGGCGACCTCGTGGGGCCCTTTGGGTTCTATGGAGCCTTTTGGACTCGGGGTGGGGGTGGGGGGGAGGTCGTTGGGCTCGGTGGGGGGGCACGTCAAAAATCCTGGAGTACCAGCCTGCCGAAGCAATGGAATTCGACATGGCGACGCCGTGGGGCCCTGTTTTGGCTCGGGGTGGGGCGGGGGGAGGCCGTTGGGCTCGGGGGTGGGGGGCATGTCAAGCATCCTTGGGCTCTGGCTTCGCCAGAGCCCAAGGAGTTGCCACGATTCTTTTACACGATGTCGCCATGTGACTGAACAAATCGTGGGCCCGGCAAGCCCTGTTAAGCCCCAGATTGCTTTCACAGGGCGACTCCGCGGGACCCCCTTCGGGCGCGGTGTGGGGGGAGGGAGGCCGTGGGCTCGGGGGGGGACGTCAAAGGTCCTCCGGCTCTGGCCTGCTGGAACCCGCGGACCCCAGGATTTGTGTGACGCGGCGACGCTGTGGGGCCCTCTTGGTCGGCCACGAGCAGGGGGGGGGGGGTTCGGCGAGGGGGGAAGGCTTCCCAGAAGCACCCCTGCTTCTGAAGAGGCGCGGGCCTGCTCCGTAGATGTC